ATATACATGTACCAGTTCTACTGTTTAGATAGCCTTTTCTGAGCCATTATAAATTTTGGAGTTCATCTCAGAGTTTTATTCAGGCCCATTTGATTTAGACCCATTGTTTATAGCAGGAGGCATTAGTAACTATTTATTTATATAGTTTTACAGTCTTTTACAATAAAAAAGTTATCCAATCTTTAAGATAACTTTGAAACAAAAAAAAGCCAATTACCTAATGTATTACATGACATTTTCCTTGAAACAGTTCAGTAAAACTAAGGAGAGAGCACTGATAGATAAGAAAAAGCATATAAATAAAACAAAATCCCAAAGTACACATATGCTTGATTTTTTTGAAGTAAACAGTTATCAGCTGATTACAGCAACAATTACCACACTATTTCACATTTGTGGTCATAAGTCTATCACTCACAGTTTGCCTGGAAAGTTGTTAAAGCCTTAGGAAAAGATACCCAGTTAACCTAATCTTAAGTTCCAAAAATGAAATGCCAAAATTTCAGCTTGGAGCATCTTTGCTCTAAAACTGCTGTAGGGCTTTTCTCAATTGCAGATTTATGAACTGGTTGTTGGGGTTTTTTTGTTTGTTTTTTTTTTGTTTGTTTTGGTTTTTTCTAGTTTGATGTTTTCTTATTATTTGTAAAAATAGCCAGGTTTCAGCCCTTTATCTTTTCTTGGTTTTATCCCATATTTGCATCTGAGCTTTCCATACAAGACTGATGTTGATATAATCACATTAACAATTTACCCTAATAAATATTACAGAATAAAATTACTACATTTCAATTCTTTCAGCTGTGAGACTATTACACAACTTGTACGCAAGGTTTTCAGTTTCTGGTTTTGGTGTTTGTTTTTTCTGGTTTTGTTTGTTTTGTTTTGTTTTTAAAGTGTATTAACAATTCAGGGCCAGCCATGAAAATGAAAATTTCCGAGATGTCCAAGTAAATGAACTGCTTTCACTAGGAAGGCCTGATTAAGAACATGTACCTACAAATAATTCAAGAGAGACTGTCTAACCCTGTATGAGAGATTTAATGAGTAAATTAATCCTATGTGAAAAATATATGAAAAGCAATCGTCTCTTTGAAGTGAAAATTCCAGTAATATTCAGCAACATACTAGATGCCACTGCAAGCCATTTTCATTACATGCTATTTAAAATTTTGTTGTACTACAGATTGATGCTTTTCAATTTATAGCCCCAAATATACGGTACCTTTTAATTAACTTAACTCTGTTCTTCCCTCCACAGGGAGGCTCTGGGTCCCGACCTGGATCACGGTCTGGTTCACCAGTTGCAAGGCGCTGAAGCTCTAAGATGCCATCTAAGGATCACGTACTCTGCTTCATAATGTAACTGCCTTAAAATTAACAACAACTGCAACAATTACCTAGATAGATGCAATCCATTACTTAATGCCAATTAGGTTCTGCATGCAGTAGATGATACAAACTTCTATTGGCAATCCCTGACCAACAGTTGAATGAAAGGAACACAAAAAGTAGCTTTACTAGATGTTTTCCTTATTTTATGTGAAGTAACAAGATCTCTGACTTTACTCATTCTTCTTCAGGATGCCCTAACTGTATGCTGGACTTCATTATTTCTCCCAAGCATCTAATCTGAGCTCAAGTCTTCTGGTTTCGTTTTAGTGAACATCAGAATTACAAATAAAGAGCTAATGTCTTGGATACCGAGCACTGCTGTTAATGATTCTGAGACACTGCTGTTAAAAAAAAAAATCCACCATGTGCAGAAGTTGTAAGGACTGTTTATCCAAGTATTTTTTTTGATTTGGTTTTTTTTGTTTTGTTTTAATCTTCCTTCTCTCACTCACAGAATAATTTATTTTCATAACAGGATTAGGCAGTCATGGAAAGGTTTACCAAACATTGGGAGTTCAAGGCATGTGAAGTGTGGGAGGGGGCAGATGTTGTAGAATCAATACGATGCGGAGCAATAGTAATAAGGAAATTCTTTCCATACCATGAATTGCTCATCGCATCCAAACCATTAGAATTAAGAGCAGATGAGGGAGAGAAAGAGGATTTCAAATTTGAGTTAGACTAATGTTAAGCAACAAGGGATATTCCCAGAGAAGAAACATCTTAAGATTGCACAAGTGACCACTGGACGTCACTGGTGCTTCACTCAAACTCTGCTGCAACAGCATTAACTTTGCAGTACAATAAATAAGTAAATGAATATATAAACAAGTAAGTCTAATTTCTGAAAGAGAGCCCTTCAGTACTGGTATCTCAGATAGTCCTGCACATCTCATGTTAGAATTTCAAATCTTTCTCTTGGTATTGCAGCAGTGTCGTATTTGATCAGCTAATCTTTTGCCCGAGTAACATCTGGATGCCTATTAAGGGCAGTGCACCAAAGCAAACTCATAGTAAACTACTGTGAACATTTAACTGTTGTACTGTAGTTGCCTTATAGAAATAAATTATAGTTGAGTTAGATTTAGATATTAATTGTTCACAAATTACTAAAATGAATGTGTGGCAATGGTATTTCCAACCACACTTAGGGAAATAAAAGGCTCTTCTGAATTGCACTGTTTTATTACTTAAACTTACCATTTTGCCATTTCTTCAACCTGTCATCTAAGTGTCTGATTAATTATTTTATTTTTTTAGTTTTAGCCTATGCATTGTAGAGTACAGTTAATGCTTCCCAGGTTGAAACTGCATTCCTAATAAGTGCCCAGTAAAAGTTACCTATAAATATGTATGTTAATTACATTTCACATCTAAATCTATTATTGTAGGTTTAAATCAGTGTCCATTAATACGAAGCAATGAAAGATGAGAGAACAGAAAATACAGAGAGACTAAAGAAAACAAAACCACCAAAATTATTAAGCATACACACACATATTACATCTCTATTACCTACATTGGTTGCTATGTGTATTTTTCTATTGTAGCTTCATTCAGATGTATACCTTGCAACATAATAGTTGATTTAATTTGAATACGTATTGTTCTTATAGGAACACAGCTTTTAAAAATATTCATTATTGAAATAAAGTAATCAACTTGAAACGAAACTTGGACCGGTTTTGTCTTTTACAACGGAGAAGATCATATATATGAATTTCTGTGGGTTTTTTTTCCACAATTTATGAATAATGTTCAGATACTAGAAAATTACACTTTGGGACCCAGGACCCAGTTGCTTGCACAAAGGCTTCTAGTGACATTGCTGGTGACTTAGCATGGCCCACAGGGCTGACAATATGACACAGGATTTATGGGAGGCCAGTGTCTTTGTGGAGTGGCAGCTAAAGGCCAGGGGCTATCGCAAGGCATAAAATGCCTATGTACAGGCAATGAAATCCCACCCTTCCTAAACAAGTAAAGCACAAAGTATCTTCTTTGAAGGCAGCATGTGAAAATCAAGTTGTTTTTTAAAGCAGCCTTCAAAAATGGGAAGGATTATTTAAGGTTAAAAAAATTGAGAAATACATCTTCCAAAATACTACACTGTAGAACTACAGAACTTATCCAAAGCTTCTTCCCTGCCTTCGTCACTCTGCTTTCCTCTCAGTCATCTTTTCCAGAGGCTGGAGGTGGCTTTTTTGGATTTACTTTCTACAGAAGAAAAGGTACGGTACTTTAAAGCATTATTTTACCAACACAAGTCTCTTGAAAGAGATTAAAACTTAAGACTGAAATTTATTGTTTTCGTTACTCACTAGCAGTTTTGCTGAACAACAGCAGTTTAAACGGCTATTTAATTTGTAAGCAGAAGATTTTTCCTGAAACAAGAACGCGTAAGCAGTATGAGGAATGTGTCACCTCTTGTACTGAAGGAATGGACAGAGACCAGAAGAAATACTTGAGCAGACACAAACCAAAAAGCCTGAGGCTAGCATAAGCCTACTACTGCATCAAACCAGAAAGAACAGAGACATTCCTAAGCACTATTCACTTACCCACTATACAATGTGACTCTTCAAACATGCCTTAGAACAAGAGTTCTTTCTGCTTTTTAAAAAAATGCATCTGCTTCAACAGTGCTTTTTGAAATATCAACATATTGGTTACACTGTCTGTATTTGTACTGAACATCAACAGAAACACTGCTTTGAAAACCTCCAACTCAATCTTACCAACAAACCTGGGCTATGAAAACCTCTGTGTAAGGATACTCAGGAGGGAATTCTTGAAGCACATGGGGGAGGAGAATGCAGGGAAGGAAATGAAATACCATGTTACAAAAAAGGTTTTTTTAAAAGTCTGTTTACTGTAACTGACAGGATTCCAAGTGCTGGAGCAGTAACAAACTGAATTCAGGAAAAATGTCAGCTGACTCCGTAACTCACACTGCTTATTTAACACTTCCAAGACTTACTGTCTCTACTCAAGACATAACTCTTTGAGAAGTGACCATTTAAAACCAGCATCTTTTTACTCACAAGACCTGCTTTTAGCACATGCTCACCGACTACCAACCACTACCGGTTTTTACTTGCTGGCAAAGCAATCGCAGCTAGAGCAGACTGAATGCTTTCAAGCATTTAGGAATCACGCTCCCATTACGAAGGATGGATTTGCATCTGGATCTGACCAGCTGTAAATCATCTTCTGTCAAATTGGATTTGGCAACCTCTGGAAAGTGCCATCCCCTATGCCATAAAGCAACTCCAACAAATTTGGTGGTATATTTATACAGTATTCTCTGAAACAACAGGGAAAAAGTTTTACATGTGGTACATGCAACAAAACACATTTTACTATATTATTACAGATAAACAGGGCACTATGCCATGGGGCCAGTATGCCTTCAGACAACTGTAAAAAAATAATGTCTTTCTTAAACACCCGAAACACTAATAGGCTGTCTGGAAGGAAAGGCACTGCTGGAAGAACTTCACCTACATTCTTTACATAGAATATTGAGACACACGCTTCCAGTAAATGGAGTTTTTAGAATCTCCTAGAATACATAATCAAATGCTTAAAAAATACACGAAACAGGATTTGGAAAAAAGTAGTATTATTTAACATGTTTCTGAATTAAATATTCCACATAACAAAAGTGTTATTTTCATGTCACCAACTATATTACTTATATACATATGCCAAAGAGTTAACAAAAGAATTAAGAGATGCCCTATCAAAACCAACAGTGATTTCTTGCTTCAGCAATCTGAAATAACTAGTTTGTATCATAGAGAAAGTATAGACAATATTTACAGAAATGGGCTTTTTGGATCTGAGAGCAATTATCTTTCAGAAGGTAAATTAAAATCCAGCTCTGTATTATAGTACAACAAATCCACCACTGATCTAGAAGTACTTGTGGCAAACCGAAAAGATGAACTTCCTGCAACTGGGTTTAGTATTTACAAAATATACTGATCGGCCACACAGAGGCTCATATAACTTTAAATATATATATACATACAAGCACACATATATATATATCTATATATATGTAACATATAAATAAAATTCAAAAGAACAAGGTAAAAATAAGAAAAGAGCTTCTGTCTTTGGAATGTCTAAAAGATGACTATGTTTTTACTCCAGTGTTTCTTTGTTATGAATATACTTAACAAGTGGCACCTTTCAAAGCATTACTTAGTCAACTAGGTAGTTTTTCTGAAACAATGACTTAAACAACAACAAATAAAAGTAACATATTTCCAAAATTCACAAAGAAAATAATGAGGAATTTACAGATTTGAAATGATAACTGTTTACAGCACTGGGGAATATTGTATAACATAGGTGACCTAGCGTGCATCTAACTTTCTCACTGCTAACACAAAAGTGTATGTTTACTTCCCAGATTTAGTATATGGCTGTGTTTTCCACAGATACTAAGATATGTACCTGCTGATCCAAAACAGCAAACATAAAGAAGAGGCTTTCATTGGAACCTCTTCTAGTTTGGATTCTCTTTAAATAATTATTGCCGAGTTTAAAACCTCAGACTTTTAATGTAAAAACTAACAACTAACTGCCTCTGCGGTTGGAATGGAAATGAACATGCTCCCTCTCAAGAGTTTAACTCAAGAAAAGCCATTAAGTTCATGGCATTTTATTTTTTTCAACAAATTCTCAAAATGTACTAAAAAAAGCTTAAAACAGAAATACAGAGTTCTCCTGTGCCTTGTAAAAAAAACCCAAAAAACCAAAAAAACCACCAAAACTATTTTATACTGCATGCATCTCCTCTGTAACATTTTGTTTCCAACCTCAATTATTTTTTTAAACATGTAAAAAAGAAAGCTGACCAACAGTTTCATGGTTTTCCCACGAAGTTATTCTTCACCTCCTTTAAAAATGGGAATCATTCTATTCTGATATAAAGTTCCAGTTTATTTTTCAAATTGATATACTGGCTGTGAATTAGAAGATGAAACTGTATACAGTATTACCTGAGTTCATTGATTCACAGACAACTTAGCACAGATTAAATGATGTTTTCCCAATATTCTTCTACAAGCTTAAAAAAGAATGATGCTTTTAGGTAATTCTTGTAAATAATTAAAAAAACTATAATATATTATTCTTATGTTAATATTTTCAATGCTTGAAGCTGTAACTGTAAAATCCATCTGTTACTTTTCTGAAAACTTGTTTCAAGAAATTCGAGTCCCAGAAACATTTTTAGCTTTCAAACTTTAAGGTGTCATCGAAAAACACTGCCTATACTTTGCCATTCATTTGAAGATTCTTGTACCACTTCTTCTAAATTCAGAGCACGACTAATATCTTCCCCTTCTTGTTCTTGATGACTAGTAGGCTCTTGTACAGGACCTACCGAAGTACAAGAGAAAAAGATGAGTGAGTATGATTTGATGTATAGTGTAGAAAAATGCAAATATAGCACTTAGGAATAAAGGAATCATGCTGGGAAAGGTACTACATAACTACTTCAGATTCTGTAAATTCATTAGATGCTCTTTGAAAAATTTTTAAAAAAATCTAAAATAATAGATCATTTTCCTGTAATAGTTTTTGAACTTTGTATTTCTGTACTACAGAGCTCCACGTAAAAAACAAGGAGCCATAAGTAGTAACCAGTCTCTGTTTCAACCTGCTTTTTGGGTTGCATGTGCAACTACTAGGTCATCAACTCTAGGTTTGGCTATTAGTGCCTAATTCCTCAGTAACTTAAGGGATATGTTTTTTGCTCTCCTAGTAAAGCATATGGCTTTCTGCACTCACCATTACTATCATTATGCTACATACCAGTGTAACCATGAGCCCGTTTCATATGCAGTTTCATATTGCTTTTCTGTGTAAATCCCATTGCACAGTAATCACATTTATAAGGCCTCTCTCCTGTGTGCTTTTTCATGTGGACTTGAAGAGCACTCTTCTGGTTAAAAGCCTTTTCACATAGTGTACACTGAAATGGCCGTTCCCCTTATAAAAGAGAAAAAGGTATTTAATAATTTCTCATTTCAACATAAAAATACAGTTCAGAATTCAGTAAAAATCATCAAGATGACCTAGCAATTAAGTAGTCATGATCTTTTTCCTTGAGACTTTCTCAAAACAGTGCTATGACTCCATATAATCAGCAAAACATCGCAAATTAAATGTCAGAGTATTTACATAAGTCCTAAATCACTGATGTTATCTCTCCTATCCAATTTATTATCTAAGTAAATTATTTAAGAGGTGCAAAAAATCAGTTTTCAACAGTTTGACTTTTCTGTACTCAGGGGAACCATCACCTTTTTACATCATTTAGAATAAGGTAGATAAAGCAATATTCTAGAATTAACAAAGCTGATATCTCTAAGAAACTAGAAAGTCAAATACGTTAAAAAAAAGTTCTGGTAATTCTACATGGGACCTGTGACCTCCTATATCGATAGCTACTAGTGATTCCCATATGTTATCAAAGAAAATATTCATTATAAAAATATTTAAAAATTTTTACAACACCTACTTTGCAAAACCAGACCTTTGCCTCAGCACTCAACACCACATCCTCCAACATCAACACAAGACACACTGCTGTATGTCATTAAGGACTTCTAAAAGCACTTTCTGAACTTACAAATATGGTTTGTTATTAGTTAGCACAATAAAGCACAAGCAGGAGTATAAATACTTTTCCACAATTTTCCTTAAAGGACCAATTTCTCTCTTCCTTCATTACCTGTATGTTAGTGTCCCCAGATGCACTGTAGCCTCCACGCTAAATCCAACTTCTCAAACAATCAACGAAAGGTCCTTTAAATCACAGAAGTGTTCTAGTTTTGTTAACAATGATTTCACTAGTTTGAAGTGAAATCTAGGTTTCCTCAGATACTTTTGACTCCAGGTTTTCTGTTCTGTTAAGATGAACAGCCTTTTTGGTGGTGTGGAATGTATTACCACATGGCTTTTTGGCAGAACTGGAAGCATCTGCTTCCCTCTAATTTCAGCAACATTTCTCCAAACTGCTCTTCACTGATAAATCCGAATGTACAAGATATTTAGAGCTATTCAGAGAAATAATGTGTGTTTTCCTTCTGGCCACTGATTCAGTAGGTACTGCCCATTAGAAATCATTAAAAAATGTTTAATCAAGATAGAAATCACAAACACTTTCTCACAGACAAGGATCATACCTTTAGGAAGGCAAATCAGTTTATAGACTTACATGAGCCTTTCCTACTGCAGTTTATGTAAGAGCACCCATCTAAAAACTTCTGTGCAGCATGTTTTCACTCTTTCGGTCTTAAGGGATTTTTAAAAGAACATTCTTTTCTGAAAGAATGACTGTCATGTGGATTGACTTGCTCTTTCAACAACAGTAATATAAAAATGAATTTAGCAAGGACTGTTACAGTTTGTGGGCATTCCTAGCACATAAGCACCCAAGTACAAGAAACCCCAAAATATCTGAGGATTTACTGAGTAAATTACAAGTCTTTCCAAAATAGAAAGAATTTTTCCTATGATAGTGCAGATTTATGAGAAACAGATGCATAAAGGCAATCTATTCTATTCCCAGCCTTCCTGAAGGGCTCTGTGTCTATTACAATGGGCAGCATAAATCAAATCAGGGAAAAGGGAAACTGGCCTTCTTTCCTGCTTTCAGATTTTGTGAACCTCTTAATTAGAGCACTGCCTTTTTTTAAAGTCTGTATTATTTAAGTCACTTATGCAGAAAGCAAATTATTGGGGCATTCTGAAGACTTTTAATCTCCTTGGATTGTAACTCTTGCCTCTCTTTTCCTGCCCCCAGTATAACCAGAATGTTCCACTCTACCACAGTAAGCACAAAGCAGCTCTGTTCCCCTTCTTTATTTTACTCTCAGGAAAAGGAGTCACCATTTCTCTTGGGGCAGGCGGGAAAAGAAGCATAAACAGTCAACCCATTAGATGAGAATACACAGGGCCAGCAGAGACCCCTAACACATAAAAACAGCTCTAATAGATCAGATCAAAGTTTCCTCCCATACTCAGATGAGAAACCACCTTCAACCATTTGGTACGAACACCCCTTATAAAACATGCTTATACACACTCATAGTATGGTTATTGCAACTAACAGTAATTGATCAGCAATGAAAGCTGCTAGCTGACAAATGGCTGCAAATACCCATTACCCTTATCAAGAGTTGTTGCTTATCCTCCAGAAGTTAAGTTTTGCTGAAAAGTGGGTGACCCAGCCCACTACTATTAAAGTCTATCCTATCATACTTGCACTAAAACCTTCCCCTCCTGTTACAATACTCTCTTGTCGCCATAATCAATACATACCACCCACACTGCAGTATTTCACAACTTGATACATAAGGATCTCATCCCTTCCCAGCTCAATGATCACCCACATTCTTCCTCATGCCCAGTACCTCCCCTATCTCTCCATGTCTTCCCATTGCAACATCCCTAAACCTGCTTTTAGGGTTCCCAAATCTCAGGATTTCCTTAGCAAAAAAACTCAAACCACAAATTCGCCAAGTTCATGAATCCTCTCTATCCAACCTCCTTATCCTTTTCTGCTAGAGAGTTCTCAGCAACTGAATAAAATGTGAAAAAAAAGTCAGGGCCAGGACATGGGACCTCTCTGGCTTTCGGCTGCCTAGCAAACCCTAAGACCTCAAAGCTCAAACACTCATGTGTAAATGAGCTGCAACAGCTCTTGCAATTACTGCCCCTACTTTACCTTTGACAGTATATGAACCATGTGCTGAATTAGGCAACTGAAATGAGCCAACTCATTTTACCAAAACAAATAAAAAATGCCACAGTAGGCTGCACATTGTATAGCCCTGACCCAATTTATCCACAAACATTTGGAATCACTGAATAATTATTCTCCAATTCTTCTTTTTTCCCATGGTAAAAAAAAGTAACTGACTACATCAATTTCTTTACAAACCTTATGAAATACTGCAAAAGCCAGCAAGAAAGCACAGATGGAAAAAGTATGACCTTGTCTTAACTAGTTATGTCTCAGTATCTGCTTATGTGCAATGGTAAGTATGAACTAATTTAACCGTAATGGAAGACACAGTCATTCATTGCATACCAATGACTATTTTATATAGCCACTGCTATATGGGAAGTTAAAGCAGTTTCCTAGACCGTGGCAATCTTAACACGTTTTCAGCTTCATCTACTTTTATTTTTTTCCTTCGTCTTCCCTGGAAACCCTTTTATCATTTATTATTCATAATATCACATTTATTGTTCGTAACATCACTTAGACATAGACTGAAACTCCACCACATTAACTCCTTCATGAAAAAAGAGCGAAGAGACAGACCTTACCTTTAAGAACTTGCCATAAACATAATGTAAGAGAAAAGAAATTAACAGATAGACAGGTATGTAAGGACACATTTACATAATGTAAATTATCAATATTGGCAGTGGTCCCAAGACATCAACAGCCTATCAGCTATCATAGAGACACACAAGAAGAAATCAAAGATACTACCGAATAAACATTTACATCCCTTCCAAACATTTGGAACAGCATGGTAGAATGCACGTGAGAGTGTGTGTGTTTATATAAGACTGTGTTTGTCAAAACCAGAGAAAAGAAAGTTTTGATGCATGAAATGAGAGCATGCACAACACACTTGGATATAGAGGCAAGTCTATACTTCAAAGATGCAATACCAAAACCTGCAAGATTGAATCTGAAGGTGCAAAGTGAAGGTCCGTTCAAAGATGGAACTCTAATTACATGTCATAAGATGGACAAGTGATGCTAACCAAGGAAAAACGACCAGGTTAACAAGATAATTTAAAGGAAGAGATTAGGAACTTTCCTTTAAATGCACAAAGACCAGCCAAAAGCTAACCACCAGAAGCTGATATTGGGGAAAGAAAAAGCTCTGGCTGACTTACAGAAAGAAAGAGAATTATCCTTTTGTGGGACTCTTCTTACACTATAGCACATCCAGTCTCAAATTCCCTGGTTCCCTCCAGCTTAGTAGCAACACAGACAACCTTCCCCTGTCTTTTTTAACTCTAGCAGCCATGACAGCTCTTTATTGGTAGCAGTGGTATGGAGAAGAGAGCAGTTGTTTTGGAGAACTGACTCCTATATTTAGAACTCATGTTCTTAAGAACATTACTCTTAAGATACAGAAGGTGAAGGAGAAGGCAGTTGGGCTATCCGATGTACAGCTTTCAACTTGTAGCAGGGCAGAAACTGCAATCTGAAAAGCACTTCTATCACAGAAAATGCGTGCTCCCTAAGAGAAATCAGTAGTCTTTTTATAGAGTAACAGTTGAAGAATATAATTAAGCAGAGAAGAACACAAATTAAAACCAATGGCATTAGAAACGGATGAACTAAGTGATTCAATGACAATCAAGCATTGCATACAGCTGTATCAGCAGTCAAGACTGTCCCTTATTTAAGGTCACTGAGCACACCCACTCATTTCCACATTCTCCTATATGCTTGAAGATGATCATATACACCACTTTAAACAATGCTTTAAAATATGCTTTTATTAATCTGTTTCAGAGACTGACGAACTTCTAGATACAAGCTCATGCATTCACATTACTGTTGCAGTACTGCCAGTCCCCAAAAATAGGGAAGCTTAGTGAAGCATGATGTTCTGGCTACAGTTTCTAAGATTTCAAGTCTGCTGTTCCTCATTTTAATTTCTAAACTCTTTGGGTTAGATATTTACTTTGTTTTTTTTTTTAAGCTTAAGTTGATATTTAAATGCAGTTACCTGAAACCATGATCAAGGATTCCAAATACAACACCCACATATTAATGAGAAAATCTTGCAAGATAAAAATAACTTCTGGCGTTACCTGTGTGAATGCGACTGTGTCTCTCCAGCTGACTTGGCTTAGCGAAAGCTTTTTCACAAGTATCACACTTAAACACTCTAGGCTTCTGGGAACTCAGTGAAGGTCCAGCCTGATGGGTTTGCATGTGTTCCTAAGCCAGTACAGAAAAAAATAACATTTCAGGCCATTTACCATTTAAAAAAACTTCAGTATTTAATGTAGAAATATATTCACACTTTAAAGACAAAAACAGAGGATCTTAAGGCATCAGCAGACAAGCTGGAAGAAGATGGAAACTTGCATTATTTTTTTTTCCCTTTTAAATGAGAGAGCGTTTTTGTATATCAACTCTTTGTAAGGCTGATGCATCAGTATCTTTACATTTCTGAAAACCTCTGTCAATAACTGTGCATTGCTTTTTTTTGCATACATTAGTCTCTTCACTAATTAACTGTAGCAAAATAAATTAAAAAAAACCCACAAACAAAAACCAAAAAAACAAACCAGAGCTCTTGAAATGGTTTGTTCACTTACAAACATGAATTTTGGACAACTGGACATTGTAAGTTAATATTGGATTTTTTCCCTCCCCTGTACAATACCCATCTCCCCCCTTGCCCGATACATAAGTATTCCTACTCAGCACCTGAGTATCATTGTAAAACTGGACAGGCCTCACAGGGGAAACTATCACAACACACAGACATGCAGCTGCACAATGTCAACGTGCAAATAGAACCACTTCACAATGAACTCTTAAATTAATTTAAAAAAAAATAAAAATCACTAAGGTCCTTACAAGTAAGAAAGCAGAATGAGGGTATGACACATTTTATCTTTATGAGGAAGCATTAATAACAGTTCTAACTTCAGTGTTTTTAATTCACTGATGCTGGACCCAGAAGTTTTGCAAATCTAAAGGAGTATCTTAGCTATTAACTTTTTAATTTAAAAATCTTTATTACTACCAAGATACAATTCAGATTACAAAAGAAAGCAAATACAAACATATTTAATTTAAAAATCTAATCAAGAACTGTATGTGAAACAGTACTGTGAGTACTTGCCCACTTTCTAAAATGTGTGTGGATACTCTTTTCTAGTCTATTACAGACTAGACTATTAATTAGTCTTTACTAGACCTAAAGAATAAGCCTTCTTGAGGTCTATGAAGTCCTATTCCTCACTCCATGAACTGAAGTAAATTGTGTCTGCAGAATTTGTTTTCACTGGAAAATCAGTAAGACAGTTACAGGGAAGAATATTATCATCACAGTAATTATAATAATATAGTATTATAGGGAAATAATAAAAGGTCGTCTCAGAAAAATCACAGGAGATTCATAAACCACAGCTTAGTTAAAAGCACAGTATTTTCTTCATCTTCATCTTGTTCATTACCTCCTGAAGCACTGAAACAGTGGAAGCACAGTATGACCTACTCCAGAAAAATTATCTGAAGCTGGCTGCTTCTTTCTGTCTGCCACAAAAAAAAACCCAACCCAAAACAATAAAAAAAACCCCCAACCCCTAAACCCCAACAACCCCCAGTTCCCCGTTTTCTACTTGAAAGCAAACAGGAGAGCATCCAGATAGCTGCCATAAACCTTTCTCCGTCACCTTTCTCTGAAGAAACAGTTTGTGATGCAGTTCTGTTCCACTGATCTGCCAATCCCTTATACTTTTCCTGTAAAATATATGCTTTTGAAAATAGTTCATGGGAATACAATGCTCTGAAGTGCAAGCACTTCTTTATAGACATACTTAGTATTTCTTTGATTGTTCATATGCTATTTTACAAGTTTATTTGTGTAATTCTCTTATTTTTCAGATAGGAATTACCTTGGGGTCTCAAACGAGCATTACCTAATGAGAAAATAAGAATTAGCAAACCTTCTTTGAAATGGCCCTTTACCCGCCTGCTCATGCATTGATATGCAACTCTCATGCCCGACCTATCTTGAAACATTAATTGTAACCACCTCTGAAAGTATGGCAATAAAAAGTTTGTTTCATTCCATTGTTTTAATAAGATCACGACCTCATTCTATTTTCATCTTCGACTGATGTCTGTTCTTTGTTTACTCTCCACAGTCACCTTGCAGGTATTGCCACTATCTAATGATATGGAATTGGACAGTTTAATCACTGCACATGTCTTCAGATTCTCCTCTCTGAAACTGTAAAACTGGGACAGTCACCAACATCAGAACAGGAACTGAAGACACTGGACTGAAAATTTTTGACACGGGGGGTGGGGTGACTGGTAGGGGCGTTCGTACATAATCCCTAAAGGTTTTCTTATGGATAATTGTGAAATTGCTGGTACTGATGCCTTTGGAAAAAAAGAAATACAGTTAAGTTCTGGCATCTAAACATTGGTACCCTTACCTCCTACTGTTTTTTTCTGGATGGCCTGAAGTTTGGCAGTGCTCTTAACATTTTTTGTAATCTCCAGAACACCATCAGTACAAAATGAAGACCTTGAATAAGAGATCACTGAACAGCGAACCTTTCCCAAAACCCTAAGCTGTGGTTTCATTTATTTTTGTTGAGCTTCCTGTTAAAGATTGCTCACAGCTGATGTTCTGGAACACCTTGATGAAGAGGTGGAATTTGTTTTAGGACATGATGACCAAGTAGTAAATGAAACTGTCTTTCTGTTTAAAACATCCTCTTCTCCTCCTCACCAAAAGTGAAAAACAATGATTTGGAGATTCATTTTGACTTTCATCATCAGAAATCTTGGATTGGGTTTGTACAGGATACAGAGAAAACCTTCCTGAAATAACATGTATCAGCTTTCATACCCACTAGTTCGACTGATATAGATCAAACTGTTAAGCTGGTCGACAAAGAGTAATAGTGCTTCCATGGGATCAGTTGTATCAAACTGCAAACTTCCGCATTTTTGATGAAATGTTCCAAAAACTTGGCTGGTCACTCTGCTGGTTTGCGTATGTCTGTATGTGTATATGGGAAAAGAAACTGTTGAAACTTCCTCATCATCTGGTGAGGTTCACTCTCCAATTTTTATACATACATGCAACATTATCCTCCCTTCTTAGGAACTAACAAAATGTGATCTTTTGCAAACGCTGATTGTCTTTGGATCTGAAGGTTGAAAATGATCCACTGCACTGAGCAGGAAGTGTTTCCTGGTATAAAGCCATAGTTTAAAGAAGCATCCCAAACAAAGCAAATAAGGCTGTCTTTCACATTAGAAAGTACCCATTCAAGAAGTCACCCTTCAAATATAAATGTTTTTCTATCATTACCCTAGCCTTATCTAACAAGCAGGTTTTTTTCTGAGTTGAACGGCAGATTTTTTTCAAATCTTGTTTCTGCAGAGGAACTTCATAGAATCATAGAATCATGTAGGTCAGAAAAGACCCTTAAGATCATCGAGCTCAACCATTAACCTAACACTGCCAAGTCCACCACTAAACCACGTCCCTGAACACCACATCTACATATCTTTTAAATACCTCCAGGGATGGTGACGCAACCACTTCCCTGGGCAGCCTGTTCCAATGCCTGACAACCCTTTCAGTGATGAAATTTTTCCTAATATCCGACCTAAACTTCCCCTGGCACAACTCGAGGCCATTTCCTCCCATCCTATCACTTGTTACTTGGGAAAAGAGACCAACACCCACTTCGCTCCAACCCCCTTTCGGGGAGCTGTAGAGAGCGATCAGGTCTCCCCTCAGCCTCCTTTTCTCTAGACTAAACAGCCCCAGGTCCCTCAGCCGCTCCTCGTAAGACTTGTGCTCCAGGCCCCTCACCACCTTGGTTGCCCTTCTCTGGACACATTCCAGCACCTCAATGTCTGTCTTGGAGTGAGGGGCCCAAAACTGAACACAGGACTCGAGGTGCGGCCTCACCAGTGCCGAGTACAGGGGAACAATCACCTCCCTGCTCCTGCTGGCCACACTATTTCTGATACAGGCCAGGATGCCGTTGGCCTTCTTGGCCACCTGGGCCCACTGCCAGCTCATATTCAGCTGGCTGTCGACCAACACCCCCAGGTCCTTTTCCCCTGGGCCGCTTTCCAGCCCCTCTTCCTCAAGCCTGTCGCGCTGCATGGGGTTGTTGTGACCCAAGTGCAGGACCCGGCACTGAACCTTGTTGAAC